TGCGGCGTTATTTTTGTAATAATCGTATATAGATATATTGTGTTACCTTGCCCGTCGGCTTTGACTGGCTTGTTCTGGAGCTAACAAAGAGCGAAAGCCGATGCTGTGTGACGGCGAGACGAACGGGAGGGAGTATCGGGCTGAAATTGATACCACAGTCTCGGCACAAGGCCAGGCTCAGTGGGGCTAGGCGCGGCGTTCCCTGCCAGGTCCCAGCGGTGAGGGGACCCCCGCCCCGCCCGCTCTCTAGGCCGTTGCCGACCCCTGTCCTAAATTTACAACTTACATTCTTATTCGAGTTTACAAAAATTTTGTAAATTGACGACGATATTTTTCACAGTGGGTAGTTGACTTTTTAGCTCAGTTTTCAGTCGCCTTTACCGGTTTCTAATGGAGATTGAAATGCTATGTAAAGAGTATTTTTCATAGGCATTAGCCTGCAAAATAGTTAAATTGGTTCACAATTACTAATCAGTGACAACCGCTATTTGCAAGGAGTCAACATGCAGTGCCCTCGTTGCCATGCGTACAGATTGGTACGAGGGGGAGGTGGGATCTCTGCGGGGCGCGACGCGTGCCCATATTGGGAACGGTGGGATTACAGGGTTGGACTAGCGCGACCACATCCTCAGCCGGTGCCGTGACACACACGCGCCCACCAACACTACACACAGCACGCACGCAGGCACATGCCCGCGCGCGCGCCCGCAGGGACCGCACCCACCCGCCACGTCTATTCGCTGCACGGCTGGGTCTGCCTGCCCTGCCGCCTGCTGCCGCCGCGCCCGCCGTGCGCATCCCTCCCTGCAAGGGGCCAACGCCAACTTATAGGCTGAACTCGGCAGGCCGGAAAATTACGGTGCGCCACTCCACGCCACGGCGGGCCCCCGGCAGCTAGTGCGCCGCGGCCGCCGCTTCACGTGCCTTTCTTTCAGCGGTAACGAGTTCTGTCGTTTAATTTCACTGCGGCGGCGGCAGGGCAAGCGACTTCACTACCATTAAAACTTGCACGGGCCGGGTGGCATGGCGCCGTCCTCATGCACCGCCGGGATCAGCAAATGAGCTAGTGGGGCCCCTCGTTCGGGAAGTAGTTAAAGTTGGCACCCTCACTGGCAACAGCCATCTTTACCCTTCCGGCTAGCATGCCCCGGCCCTGCAGCGGCGCCTCGTCCCCACCCCGGCCCACGCTCCGCAGCCCTTCTAGCTCCAGCTCGCAGCGCGATCTGTAATGCCTTGGCTGAACTCTAAGTACACCTCGGCCAGGTGTTGACTTTTCGTCGATCGGTGGGAAAACACGCGCGCGGCCGCGCAAGGTCGAGGAGGCGGAGGAATAGGGAGGGGGGGGGCGCTGAACACCTGGGTTAGGGACTGTTTGTCCCCGGCTCAGTGACCCGTCATCCCCCCGGCCCGTGTGGAGGCGAAGCGGTAAGACACTGCGGACCCACATCTAATTAAGTTTTTAGTGTTGCGAACGATGGGTGGGCCCATGCGGGCGCGCCATTTCCCTAGGACAACACGGACACGCGCACACGCACACGCACACGCTCACACACGCCACACATGCACGCGCACAGCGGTGATCGGCCCCGCTAGTGGTCGGGCGAAACGGCCCTGTAAACTTGAACGGGTCCAGCCTGCACGCCCAGCGCCACCCAGCCGACCGGGGCAATCGGAGGGCAGCGTCGTAAAAGAGTATCGGACACATGGCCCTGTCCCCCGAGGACGGCGTCATGACAGCGTCATCGCCCCAACCCGAGCACCAACCCCACCTCGCCCGGCCTGGAGTCCCATCGCCCACCACACCCAACCTCCGTGGACTGAAACGCCCGCCTACACTCTACGCTGGACCCAGTGGCCAGTGGTCTCCAGTTAAACTTCACTCATAATGAAAAAGGACAATTTTTTGTTCAACGAGGATGCTACTAAGCACTTCTCAATCTTATGCAAATTGTCTAAGCAGACACAAAGCGTTATCGGTGTACTTAGGCTAGCTACAACTTGTACCCTTTTAGATACAAATTTACATCCAATTGAAATTATATGTGCTCAAGAACTTCACTTGCTACAAAACTTTTCTTTCCCTGGTTGGTGACAAACGCATTCATTTTTGTACCCCCATTGGCCCCTTCGTGCAGAACTTTTTCGCCCGCCTAAAGCATGAGCCTCATCGTCCTCCTGACCTTCTCCGCAATGCGCTCCTCGATTGAGCTCAGTTTTGGCTGCTGCGCGTGGCGCGGCAGCCCGGGAGGCAGCTCCCAGTGCGACGTGTACTAAGCACCTGGTCTGGAAGTAAGTCCACCCTGCGAGAACCTCAGTTTAAATCCCTTCTGCGTTATCTCTTCCCAGGCTTGACGGTCAGACAGGCAGCAGTGTCCATTTATAAAAGTCCGGACGGGAAACAAGTGGAGCAGGCTGTGCCAAACTCGCAGACAGAGGAGGATCTTGTACCATTTCTTCTTTTGCTTTACAAAAAGGGAAAGGCAGATTTTTTGCGTCTACCGAAGCAATATATTGTAGATCTCTGAAGAATGCCTCTAGGATTGTCCTCGCCTCGCGCATTTCTTCCCCGGAACTTAATCCTCTGACTTTTCCATGCGGCGTTATTTTTGTAATAATCGTATATAGATATATTGTGTTACCTTGCCCGTCGGCTTTGACTGGCTTGTTCTGGAGCTAACAAAGAGCGAAAGCCGATGCTGTGTGACGGCGAGACGAACGGGAGGGAGTATCGGGCTGAAATTGATACCACAGTCTCGGCACAAGGCCAGGCTCAGTGGGGCTAGGCGCGGCGTTCCCTGCCAGGTCCCAGCGGGAAGGGCCGCCCCCCCCCCAATACTTTCTGCCGCCCTTGATGTAGTGTCCTCCTGTGAGGATGAAGCCATAAATTAGACGCTACACGAGGGGACTACTTTAAGCCCCACGCCGTGCTTCGGCGGTTCCCATGCTGAAAGTGGACAGGGTGTTGGCGCGTACTTGGACCCTGCAACATGAATTTCACCCTTTGTCGAGCGCGCAGGTAGTTGCGATGGAACATTGATTATTCGGAACAATCGAGGACTTACAAGGCCAGCATTTCTACACTGTTAAAAATTCTGGTATGGATACGACAAACTTTCTTACAACTTGTCCGTTCAAGAACAACATTATTTGTTTTCATTAAGAACGATTAAAATTTGCAACGAGAAAGTACCATCCCTACACAAACATCTTGTAATGTTAAGATGTCGTTTCAATACAAGAAAGTTTGTTTCCTGATGGACAATCTCGTAACAAAAAAGATTTGTCTCTGTACGAGTAGTTCCGTTTTGAAACAAGGAATGCCATTTAAATACAAAAGGCTCGTTTCCTGATTGACTTTTTTGCTTGAACAGAAAATTTGATGCTTTATCGATAACATCTTGTTTATCTGAAACTACATGATGTATCATAAAATAAACAAATCTAAATACCTAAAATTCTAAGTAAAACAATAAACTTAAAAGTTTAACTAATATGATGGTGAACTAGAATCTCACTTCAACTAAAAATTATGGTGGTGCCGTTTGAAAACAAGAATAGTTGTTTGAAAACAATTTATGTTGTTCCCATACAACTTTCTCGTTCTGTAACGACATTTTGTTTGATGACTAGGTCTTAATATTTTTTCTGTATCCAAACGAACTGTTTGTTTTGAAAATAGTGTATGTTGTTCCTGTACAACTTCCATGTTCAGTTACGACATTTTGTTTGATGACTGGGTTGTAGTTATTTTGTCGTACCCAAATGAGTTGTTTGTTTTGAAACGATAAAGTATTGATGGCATCCCTAGTAACACAAAACTGTCGCGCATAGTGTAATTTTTTTCAATCGGCCAATTATTGTGACGATAACGAAAATCCAAAAGTGATGGATATTCCAGAGTCAGACGATTGTCGCTGGACTATCAAATTTAAACCATCTAACATCTTGTTGTATTGATATCGATTCCTGGTCAAATTCAGAACAGTGGTATTTCGCTTCCATTCTGATAGATAGCCGATAAAGATTTTCGTTCCGAGGAAAAAAGATAGTATAGCAATAGATTCATTTTTCTCAATTCGTATATCGCACCGTTAGTCCGTATCTTTTTTCTACTGTTGTCCAACAATCGTGCGACAGTTCTGTGCTACTAGGGATGCCTGTTTACCTACAATGCTGGTCATCTAAAAAATTAACAAGAAATTTGTCGTTTCCATACAACATTTTTTTTACAGTGTAGGGTCCAAAGGCGTGCCTTCGAGAGGGGTGGTTAAAAATAAGTTTTTGCTTTGAAATGCGCAAAGTATTAACCACAAAATTTCACTGGTAAAAAGTGAAAAGGGTGGAAGTCTGGACTTTACGCCCTTTGCACTTCGCTCTAGTAATTTACCCTGAACCGTTCGAAACATTTGAATTCCTAGTTTGAGATCTTAACTTTTCGAAGTTTTTAGAGAGTTTCAATTGATTTGGAAAATTGTAATGAACTCATGACTAAAATATCTAAATTTATTCGCAAATTGTAATTTTGTTGTTTTCAAACCTAGTTTTGGTGTAAAATAGTCCGTTTCTGTTTTCCAAAATTGCCAAAAAATTTCCTCAAAGGTCTGGAATTTTGTTTCTATCAATGTTTTGGAAAATCGTGTTTCTAAACTATATTTGGACAGATTTTTGGGGTAAATTCTAACTTATATTTGCAGTGAGCAAACCTCGACCCGTCATCCCTGTCTCTTAAGAGTTGGAGATCAGTGACAACCCGATTCTTTTCGCTGAACCTTTCTGTGAGCGGAGGGAGAGGGGACTACTGGCAACGAATTTGGCGGAAAAGTGGGGACTCCTCTCCAATTAATTTTTGATTCCTCAAAACTCTTGCAACACGTTCCCTAAAAGTGTTACACAGTCATTTAGTGCGTGTGTTTTTCCCAGTTTGTCCCCTTCTGAGTGATGTCATGGGCCTTGTACAGCGCAGTGTATGTGACGCCCCGTTGCTGGTCTCGGCTTTCCAGGTGGACGCTCCCCGCAGCGAGTAACGAGCAGCGTCCGGCCTCGGCGTGACGGCGGCAGGCGCGGAGTGGCGCGGGGTGGCGGAGCGTGGCGCGGCGCCCGCGAGATGTCGCCCCGCTAGGGCCTGCGGCAGCCTGAGGCCGGCCTGAGGCTCGCCATGGGGACGCTGCGCCTGCTGCTGCTGCTCACCCTCGTGGCGCGCGCGCGCCCGGCCCGTGCCGCCGACAACCCGGACACCTGCGCCAGCACGTGAGTACAGCAAACAAAATCAGTAGAAAAGCAAAGGTGCCTTTACAGGGGTGCTCCAGAAATGAATAGTTTTGCAAAGGCATTGAAGAACCCTAGGGGGCTATGCGGTTCTAACAATTAGTGCCTTTGGTAGTTTAAATGCCGGGGTTTGCTTGTTTAATTCGGGCTTGCTTGGCTCAGCAAAAATAGGATACAGAGCGACCGAAAGTAGACAGTCCTTATTTTATTACATTTATCAGCTTTTTGTCAGGGCCACTCCTTCGCGCGCTCCTTTGCCTTGGTCGGGGCGGTGCGCCTATGCCCTCCATTGTCTTTTCTCCCGTCGCCTTTTTTGTTTTCATCTTTTTCTTAAAATGATTATCGTCGCCTAATGAATACCGCGCTTTTGGGGAGGAATCGCTCTGCATTCAAGATGATGAGTTTATTAATCAGCGCGTCTAGTCTGTCTCGCCGCCCCGCCGCGCCTCGCGCAGCGCAGTCCACTTTTCATTTTTATGCGATCTGCTCGATTTATCAAATTAACTCCGAGGACAGAACACGGCAGGGCAGGGACGCGGCGGGGCGTGGTCGGACGGTCAGATCGGCGGACACAAGTGTTGCTTTCAAACGCGATTATTCCCGTCTCCTGCCGCTGTGTGTTTGCCGGTGACAGCCTGTGTTCTGCGATTTGTCGATTTTCCGTGCAGCTTCCAGAAGCCCGCTTTGATCTCCTCGCTGCCCTGCTCTCTCTCTCTCTCTCTCTCTCTCTCTCTCTCTCTCACACACACACACACACACACACATACACACACTCACACACACCCTCCCTCTCCTTGTGACACAGCAAACACCAGCCCGCTTGCTGTCACGTGTCTCTCTCTGCGTCGCTCTTTTGTGTTTTTTCGCCCCTTTCGTATATAGAGGTCAGCAGCAGCGAGGTTGTTCCCGCTTTGTTATTTGTATATTTTTTCACGGTGTCGTGCGGAAGTTCACCCGCACACGCGCGGTGCCTGCCGAAATTATTGACGCCCATCAGGCATTCTGCGGGTAGAGAGAAGGGGAACAATACCCTATCCCCATTACCGTAGATTAATTATTTCAGTTTTTTTCCCCTTTCTCTCTCCCTCCTCATCCTCTGGTTGGTGCGGCTAAGTTGTTCGTGAATAATTTCAAATGTAAAGGGGTGGGGGTCACGGACGCAGGATGGGTGGAGGGAGAGGGAGCGAAAGTGAGGAGCAGGAGGAGGAGTAGGAGGAGAGTAGGAGATTGAAAACTAGACCATCGGGGCAGCGGGTCATTCCATATTGATGGCGCGCATTCCAATCGGGGCGCCGCTTGTTTCGGGTCGGGGAGGCGTGACGGCGGCGCCCGGCGCCTGCAGCCCCGCCCAGCATACCTCCGGCTGTGATTGTGTCATTGGGGGGCGGATCGTGGCGCAGCGTGGCGCACGCTGTAATGTTACGCCACTCGGCGCCCTGCTCCTCTCCTCCCTTCTCCCTTCTATCACTTTCGTTCATTTCACAACTTATTTCTCTTCCCACGCGTCTCAAGCAGCACAAGCCCCTCATTGCTATCCTCCCAAGTTTTAACCGACCGATTGCATAGGGTGATTGGTCGCTTCGGCGCGTTTCACATTGTACTGTAGGCTACCGCAAAGCTGAATCCTGGGTGCGGTTGCTACCCACAACTTCTCCCACACATCTCTTCAACCTGCTCAGCTCCTCTCCCACCTGCACAGATCACCGCGACTTCTTTTTCCTTCTTTGGGCAATGTTTTCGTAAAACCGATGCATCCAGATCACTCATAAGGAGCGATGCGAAACCAGGTCGCTCGATTTGGGTGATGTAGAAACACGTCACTGAATTTGGGCGAGAAAGATGACTCCCACGTTTACAGTGTAGAGGTACCGTTACCGCAACACTTCAGCTCCCTCCTACATTTCCGCGGTGTTCTATTTCGACGCTTTGACATGGCTGATGTTAGCCCGTACTGCGCCACAGTGCTTTGATGTGAGAAGCGATTGATCCAATTGAATTGTGCAAACCACATGCACCGGGAGGAAGCTACGCGGTCGTCGCATGTCAAAGGGATTGGAAAGACGGGACCTGGAGCGAGGTGGGGGTTACGGTACCCAGTGCCACAACTCCTGGAATCGAGTGTACACCTGTCTAGGGAACCCAGGCAGGTGCAAATACACATGATTCCCGGAGTTGTTGCCCCCTCAATTACAAAGAAAATGCTTCTGAAAGATCGTAAGTGTGTCATTTTTGTACGTGTATTACCCGACTTGCCCCTAGAGGAAATGTGTAATGGACCGCACCCTTGGCTGCGCCTCTCTGTCTGTGTCTGCCCCCCCCCC